AGAAAGGACTTGTGTCGCTAAAGTTTCGTCGGAACGAATTAACGGAAAATCAATTAACAAACGGAGACGTAACAATAATATAAGCCTAGAGGTTCAAAGGCTATATTTAATATTAAAGGTTTAGATAGAATGAGAAAACTTAAATATTGGCTAACTAATTAGTGTTGCTAGATTACAGTTCCTATATTAAGTCGCTAGTACATTATAGATCTAACATTAATGTTAGGCCTGTTATTTCCATCTTTTTAGTCTTAGGTTTGGATCTAGATGTAATAATAATGACAGAAATTTAGCTTTTTACATCTAAACTAGACCTTAGATTTGGGTGCATAGATTGAAAGCGCCTTGTATTGAATCTACCCAGATCTAGATATAACCCTGCTTCATCAATTCTAGATTTAGATTTATTAGGCCTAACTTTTAGAGCAAATGTTATATCTAGATCTATCATTAAATCTGTCCCAGTGCAATGCCTAGTTTAATAGTTAGTATAGGTTTAAGTATGCCTATAATATAGGCTACAATTTGTATGATGATGGACCTAGGGTCTAGAAATAAAGTTATAACTGCAATTAGACCTAAAGTCTAGTACATTAGTTGGTGTAAGACATGATTTACAATCAGCCAATGTAATTACAAACCACTACATTAGGCCTATAATGTTTACTAGATCCAGATCTAGGCCTTGCCTGTTGCATATATTGCCAATCTTGCACACCAGTTAATATGTTACATCAGTCTCGTATTTTCTTTTTGTTTGTTTGTTTGGAGTTAAGCACAAAGCTACACAAAGGGCTATCTGTGCTCTGCCCACCACGGGTATCGAAACCCGGTTTCTAGCGTTGTAAGTCCGCAGACATACCGCTGTGCCACTGGGGGGGGGGCTTTTCTTTTTGTAGAACATACACTTACTTGTACGTTGTACTCTACGACTTCTTTTTGATCTACAGATAAATGATGGAATAGTGTAATTTACTTCTGTACATCAATTCAGTCTCACTCTATTTCAGTGGGCGACTTTTAAAAGTTAAAACTGCAAGCATAATACACACAAATAACATAACATTGTGTCGTATTTACTTAATGTAGCGCAGTTGCACTATATCTTAGGGGAGGGATAATTATTAACTAATAGGCATTGTAGGCCAGAAGAAATTTTGTGCCCCTTCCCACCTGCGCCCGGGGGCGACTGCCCCTTGCCCCCTCTTGCTACGCCACTGTATGACTCCACTTACGGCATCAAGAGTATCATAAATTCTTGGCAGTGGGTATGAGTCCTTTT